CAGCATGCAGACTTCTTAGTTGCGGCATGTGAACTCTTAGTTGCGGCATGCATGAGGGATCTCGTTCCCCTACCAGGGATCTAACCTGGGCCCCTTGCATTGGGAGCGTGGAGTCTTACCCACTGGGCCACCAAGGAAGTCCCTTACTTGGTTTTAGAAAAGGCTTTCCTTACCCCAGGTAGTAGGGTAGTGGTCTGTTGTATCTCTGTTTAATTCTACAACACATGAGACGCATATACAAAATAAGAGAATGGTTGGTTGGAATATTTTCATAAATGGTCTGCATGTGTGGTAGCTTTGTGAAACCTTTGTACATCTTTGGGACAAGCTTGCGTACAGCAGATAGAGCAGGGTGTGCACCGAGAGTACAAAGATAAATGTACCCTCCTGTTCTCTAGGAGGTCACACCAATGGGAGTGGAAGGAGGAGATGGCTATAAACTATGGTATGTCTATTCTAGTGTTGATTTAGTAAATTGAATCGTGTGTCAGTTACTCTGGAATCTTGTCAGTCACCCTCTTTGGGGGTAAGCCACTTGGAAGGAGGTCATATTGAGCTCATTCATGGAGGAGAGGTCTTTTCCAGGAGCGAGATCGTGGTGAAAGGGTAGAGAGAGGGAACGAATAAAGGCTTGGAGGAGGAAAGCTGTCATCACTTCTCTACTGCCTCTCGTCTTAGTATGTGAAAAGTAGTTTTTAGTCTAAAAGGGCGGAGCTTAGTCTCATGAAATTTAAGCAAAATATTTTGTCGTGTCCAGTTTCCTCTCTAGTCCCCAAGGGCAAAGGCTTCAGGAACACAACAGTCAAGCAGAGACTTGGGCACTGTTTTCTTTTATGCTGCAGCTTCCCCGACCCCAACCCCGAGATGGTGACTGTGCAATTCCCTGGCTGCTGGGATGAGGTGAAAGGTGTGGGGTTAAAAGTCATCTGGAAAGTCGTTGTGTGATTTATTGTGGTAAGATTACAAAGGGACCAATAGGACATGTGATGGATCCTGGACTTTATCCTTCGTGCAGTGGACTGTCATTGAAGGTTATTAACAGAAGCAACATAATTATATTCTTGTTCCCAAAGATAAAATCTGGTGGCAATATAAAGATCTGATTGGAGTAGAAAGACCAGTTAGGAGGCTTTTGTTAGAGCAGAGGTAAGAGATGATGGAGACCTGAACCAGAGCACTAGCCATGAGGACGCAGAGCATTTTAGTGGCTTAAGGACAGATGCAGGAGTCACTGAAGCTGCAGAAGTGGTCGAGGTCATCCTGGGAGTGAGCATAAAATTCTGGGAAACACCAGCATGGAGAGAGGAGGGAGAGCATGAGGAACCGGTGAATGAGACCGAGAGAGGGATCAGAGTGGCGGGAGAACCAGGAGAATGAGGTTCTGGTATGTGGGCCTCTCACTGTTGTGGCCTCTCCCGTTGCGGAGCACAGGCTCCGGACGCGCAGTCTCAGCGGCCATGGCTCACGGGCCCAGCCGCTCCGCGGCATGTGGGATCTTCCCGGATCGGGGCACGAACCCGTGTCCCCTGCATCAGCAGGCGGACTCTCAACCGCTGCACCACCAGGGAAGACCCAACCAAGTATTTTATTAAAATAAAAGCTACACTGAAATGTTTGCCTTTTCTTGTTGGGGGAGTGGGGATAAATTAGGAGGTTGGGATTAACATACACGCACTACTGTATGTAAAATAGATAACCAACAAGGACCTACTGTATAGCACAGGGAACTCTTCTCAATATTCTGTAATAACCTATATGGGAAAAGAATCTAAAAAAAGTACATATATATATATATATGAATCACTGTGCTGTATACCTGAAACTAATACAACATTGTAAATCAACTATACTTTAATTAAAAAAAAAAGATTTGGTTTTAGGATAAAAAAATTTTGGCTTTTCTCTACTGAACATTTGGCTGATATTGTTATACAGCCCAGAGAGTTTCTGGATTTTCTCACTGAAAAATAATCTTTGGATACTTTTCCAGTATTCTTCTTTATAACGGTTGGTCTGGGCAGTAGCCCTTTGAGATCCATACAGGTAAAAAGTTATTGGGCTATATGATCTCTAAAGTCATTTTAGCCTCAAAGTTTTGGTTTTCTGGAAAAAAATGCCTCAGGATAAGAATTTTATGAGAAGCTCATAGAGGAAAGAAAAATCTCTGGGCCAGAGAGCTCTTAATTAATAAAAGTTGATAGGAGGAAAAGAAAAGTTGATTGGAGGGAGTTTAAAGAACATATCTTTATTTCATTCTTTGGTGAGTAGAGATCATCTCTGTCAGAGGACTTGAATGCTCCATTTTTTAATTTACTGGTGCACTTTGACACCACCGAAGCACAAATAAAAGGTACTTGGTGCAAGAGTTGGTTTCTGATGACTGAAATTATTTATATATATATACACACACACTGAGAGAGAGAGAGAGAATATTGTACACATAAACATAAAGGACTCAGTTTTGACCTTGAACATAATTTTTACTTTCTGAGCTGAATAAATGTGATGGTAGACCTAGAAGCCACCATTGCCAAAGAATGTTTGTTCAAATTCTCCTGGTCCCTTATCTCTAGAACTGAGAAAACTGGTAGTAGCAATGAGTAGAAAACAGATATTTAGTTAGACTTGAAAATTTGTCTTTATTTGGTTGTGATACACACTATTGACATTTCCTGCCTAGATCACCTGCAGTGAGAGATCTTCTGAGACTGATGTGGAGAAAAATCCTCACTCAGCTATCAATATTTAATATCCTGTTTTATCTTTGAAAATATGGAGCAGAAGCAATATCATAACTGATTAGAAATTTATCTGTACACTTATTCCAGTTGACATAAAGTGGAAGCTGTCGAGTTTCTCTGCTGCATGTTTTGCTACATCTCTGCATCTCTCTATGACTTCCTACTTTCTCTCTTACTCCTAAATGTAGCCTTCCGTGGGGTGCTGTGCTTGGTTGTCATTTCCTCCCTACCTGCCATCCTGTCCTCACAGGTGAGAAGAGATGGCTTTTTTCTTTCTTGAATTTAGCTATGACCTCTAAGATGTGAGACTCCTACATCTTAAGACCTAACTGTCTAGAACTGGAGGGCCACAGTTTGAATACTTACTGGACATCTTCAGTAGAATGTCCCAGGTACCACAGAATAAAGATCTTCAGAACTGAACTAATAATCTGCTCACATCTGCCCAGATCTCATCTTTTTGCTGACTTCTTATGTCCCACCACGACATCACCCTTGTCCCGATGCTTAAACTCAAGGTCTTGGTCTTTTTTTTTAATTGTTACTCTTGCTACTTCTGTTCCATCGGTTGCTAGAGCCTGTAACTTCTCACTCTCTAGATCTTATGGGTACTTTCCTTCTTTCCTATTCTCATTTCCACCCTCTTTCCTTACTTAATTGCAGTAGTTCCATCTGTCAGTCTCCCCTGTTCCAGTTAAACTTACACATTTCTGGTAGCTAAGTCATCCTAGACCAAACCTCTACTCTTGTCCTTTTCTGCTCAAAACCAGGGAATGCTTACTAGTTTTTATACACCATACCTGTGGGGCCTAGATTATCTTTCAACCATATATCCACCTCCTTCCATCCACACAACACACCCACACCCCTGCCAAAGCGGCTTATTCATTCTTCAAACATGTGCTGAACTTTTGTCCATGTTGTTCCCTTTGCCAGAAAAACTTTTCTTCCTCTTTCCTGCACCTGTCAAAATCACACTCATCTGACCCAGGCTGTCTCGCGTTATACTGTAACTTTTGAAATAACTACAAGATTTATAGTGTGCCTCCCTATTGATCCAGCCATCTTGATTATGAAAACTTACCCTGCAAAAATATTCACCGTATTTAATATATATGCACAGGTTTAATGCAGCATTGCTTGTAAAAGTAAGATATTGGAAGCAACTGAAATAGATGCAACTTGGAAAAAATAAAGATATACATATATACACACATACTGACATGGAAAATCGGCCAGAGTGTGGACTGTGATTCTGCCTTTTAAAATAAGCATGTATGTGTATATGTGTATGTGTATACTTGCATACAGAAAAGAAAATCTGAAAAAAATTCACCCCAGAATAATGAACAGTGGCTAGTGCGTGTATGTGTGTGTGTGTGTGTGTGTGTGTGTGTGTGTGTGTGTGTATTTAGGCAGGGGTGTTAAAGTTTTAATGTACCTTGTCCCAAAACGTTAACATTTGCTAATAATGCACGATGAGCTGACTGGTATTTATGACATTTTTCTTTGTATTTTCTATATATATATATATATATTTTAGCAATTCTTTTATTTATATTTATTTATTTAGTTGCGGCTCCCTGGCTCCTTAGTTGCGGCAGGTGGGCTCCTTAGTTGTGGCTCACCAAGCTCCATAGTTGTGGCAGGTGGGCTCCTTAGTTGAGGCTTGCTGGCTCCTTAGTTGTGGCTCACAGGCTCCTTAGCTGTGGCATGTGAACTCTTAGTTGTGGCATGCATGTGGGATCTAGTTCCCTGACCAGGGATTGAACCCGGGCCCCCTGCGTTGGGAGCTCAGAGTCTTAACCGCTGCACCACCAGGGAAGTCCCTGTATTTTATATTTTTAAACTAAAAATAAAAACTGGAGAAATGCTGTGTTCTATTTGAAATACTAAGTGCTTTAGTGTCAAGTCTGCACTGATATTTATCAGGACAAAGCACCTAGAAAAGATTTTTCTCTATGTCATCTTGCAGTGCTATTGCATAAAATATTTTAATCCAGGGACACTAGTATTTCTGCTGACAGACTCCTTAATCAGTGTGGCTTTCTTCTTGCAAATAAGCTTCAGTGAATTTAGTGTGTGTGTGGTTGCACACAGCTGGTAGTAAAAGATTTGAATGGGTGCCGTGGTGCTTACACATAATTGAAATTAAATCAGTTTGACCTATTTTTGTGTAAATTGTTAAGTGACACAAGTTTGATTCATTTTTAATGGAAAACAAAGAGATATAACGGTATATGCTTTGTGGTGATCTAGGTTTTCTGGACAGTACGTATTTCGGCGAAAAGCTGGAGGAGGAAATGACCACGTAAGTAGATGTTTTCCTTACTATTGCTAAGCATTTCAGTCTCAGTCCAGTTGTAGCAATGTTTAAAATTTTGCGTTATTATAATAAAGATTCAAAGTTTTGAGGAGAGCAACATCATTGTTTCTAGGAGGATACAATGTAGGATATTGTTTTTAAAGAAAATAATTTGCTGCATAAGATGTGCTAAAGTTAAGGTTAAGCCTGGATTGGACTGATGTATGCATTGGTAAATATAGAATATCATCTACAGGGAAATTAGAGGAGTTCAAAGTGGCCTTATTTAAAATGCAGTTAAATTAGGAATCACATTATTTGCAATGGCTTTGTAATTATTAGTTTGATTCCTGGATATTTTTAGTCATGATATCATGAGATCAGTCAACAGGATTTTTTTTTGTAACACAGCATCTAATTCTAATATATGAAACAAGGCGTCCCAGAATAACTATAGTCCTTTTAACCTTAAGTCACCTTGGGGAGGCTTTCATTAATGATTTACTTATCTTGAAGTTTGCTCTTAGAACAGCTTATAAAACATGTCCAAAGGTATTACTTGGTGATTCAGAAGATAATGATTCTACATTATCCTATAAATGGTTCTGTAGATTTGAGGAAAATGGAGATATTTGACCATATTTTGAAAGATGAGAATTACCTCCAAATATTCCTATAGAGAGGCATTTTTAAAATATTCATGAAAAACAGAATGTCTTGTAATCATTTTATAAATGCTTAAGCACAGGTGTGTTTTGAGTAAACATAGACTGACGGCCTACAATACATTAATTTATTGTCAAAGCATGCATTCTACTTCTTAAATGAGGTTTCTTTTTAACTGTCTCGCTATATCATTAACACTTGGATAATAATTAAATATTGTTATCTATTAACTAAAATTTAGTATTCTAATTACATCTTCCCTGATAAATACATTGTAAATTACCAGGTATAGCTTGGGGAAGATATGTTTACACCAGGTTGCAAACATTGACATCAGCAACTATATGGTTATCACACTGCCATTTTTTAAAATTTAATTTAATTAATTTATTTTTTAACATCTTTATTGGAGTATAATTGCTTTACAGTGGTGTGTTAGTTTCTGCTTTATAACAAAGTGAATCAGTTATACGTATAAATATGTTCCCATATCTCTTCCCTCTTGCGTCTCCCTCCCTCCCACCCTTCCTATCCCACGCCTCTAGGTGGTCACAAAGCAACGAGCAGATATCCCTGTGCTATGCGGCTGCTTCCCTCTAGCTATCTATTTTACGGTTGGTAGTGTATATATGCCCATGCCACTCTCTCACTTCGTCCCAGCTTCCCCTTCCCCTTCCCCATGTCCTCAAGTCCGTTCTCTAGTAGGTCTGTGTCTTTATTCCCGTCTTGCCCCTAGGTTCTTCATGACCTTTTTTTCTTTTTTTTTTTCTTAGATTCCATATATATGTGTTAGCTTACGGTATCTGTCTTTCTCTTTCTGACTTACTTCCCTCTGTATGACAGACTAGGTCCATCCACCTCACTACAAATAACTCAGTTTCGTTTCTTTTTCACAATGCCATTCTTATAGCTTCTGTATGGTTTATAGAAGCATTTTTCTTTGAGGGTGGCAAGTAGTGAACTTTTAAAAACTTTTAAATCCTGTATTTCACTTTAGCATGTTTGTCTTTGCCTAAAATGTAAGTGCTTAGTGAAGCACACGAGTTGCTTGCTTTTTTCAGCATGAAGACTCAGCTGAGGAAACACAAATTTAGCATTTCTAGATGGTCAAGGGTCTGGATTTAGAAGATGCTCATGTTCTTTATTTTTAGAATTTAAACTGGAAGGACTGCTACTTGATTCATTAAGCATTTCAGGATAACTTACAATGGCCAGTTGGGCAGATGATATAAGAATACTTTTCATTTTCTATTGTCTCGTGGCATCTAAGCTCTGCCAGATGAATAACCCAAAAGATCAGGGGACCATTTCCATCTCTTGGTTCCACTTTCTGGCAAATTCTGTCACTTGTTTCCACTCTCCAATGTGCAGAAACCACCCCAAGTGCTCATCAGCTGATACGGAGGTAATCCAACGACGCAGGAGGACAGTGGTAGATTACCTGATGCTGTGACGCTTCAAGGCACCACACAAGTCTTTCACAATAACCGGCATTCTCTGGTTGCTAACTCTGTGCTGGGCATGGGCCCAAGTGTATTCATACGTTACTGTGTAAAAGTTTTTTTTTTTTAATGGCCGTGCCTCGCAGCATGCGGGATCTTATTTCCCCAGACAGGGATCGAACCCGCGCCCCCTGCAGTGGAAGCGTGGCGTCTTAACTGCTGGACCTCCAGGGAGGTCCCACTGTGTTATAGTTCTTCTCTCCATTTTACCAATCAGAAAACTGAGGCTTAGAAAGGTTAAGCAAGGCTACACAGCAGTTAAGTGAAGAGCGGGGCTTTGAGCCAAAACAGAAACCACAGTCTTTTTTTTTTTTTGCGGTACGCGGGCCTCTCACTGTTGTGGCCTCTCCCGTTGCGGAGCACAGGCTCCGGACGCGCAGGCTCAGCGGCCATGGCTCACGGGCCCAGCCGCTCCGCGGCATGTGGGATCCTCCCGGACCGGGGCACGAACCCATGTCCCCTGCATCGGCAGGCGGACTCCCAACCACTGTGCCACCAGGGAAGCCCTAGAAACCACACTCTTAAGCATGACACTGTAACAGGGCAGCTGTAGTTGGATGCCGACCAACTCTGCTTGTGAAGGAGGTCAAGATAGACAGACAACCAGAAAAGGCAGGATGAGTGGTCTGTTGTGGGAAGGTGCATTGATGAGAAAGCAGAGCATGTGCAGTTTTCTTGTCGTTTTCCAGGTACGCCTATTATTACAGTGGAATCGGGGCTGGCGTGCTTGTCGCCGCTTACATCCAGGTTTCATTCTGGTGCCTGGCAGCAGGAAGACAAGTATACAAAATTAGAAAACAGTTTTTTCATGCTGTCATGCGGCAGGAGGTAGGCTGGTTTGACGTGCATGACACTGGGGAGCTTAACACCCGGCTCTCAGAGTAAGTACCTGGGTTTATGTCGAACTCCGATGTGCTTCTGACTCTTACAAAATGAAAGAGAAGTCATCAGATCTGTTAGGAGACATTAGTGCATCACTCAGAAGTAATTATGACACGAAATTCCTTCTGAGCCGCAGTCGTGTCTCACGCATCTTTTCATTCCCAGAACCCTGGCAGGGTATGAGGGGACTTGCATGAGTAGCAATGAATGAGGTGTTGGGCTTGCCAGACTCGAGGAAATCCTCTGGGAGTGTGCGTTAGAGCAGCAGCATGATGCTTGCTGGGGACGTGACTGTGCAAGATCCTAGATGTACACTAATTTACCCCACGCTGAAACAAACCAAAAAGCCAGCTAGATGCAGGAGAAAAGTTCTGTGTTCGCAATTCTGATGTTTATTTCTAACACTGTCTCTTCTTTTAGTGACGTCTCCAAAATTAATGAAGGAATTGGTGACAAAATTGGAATATTCTTTCAGTCAATGGCAACATTCTTCACCGGTTTTACAGTAGGATTTACACAAGGTTGGAAGTTAACCCTTGTGATTTTAGCCGTCAGTCCTGTTCTTGGTCTGTCAGCTGCTATCTGGGCAAAGGTAGGTGAAGCCTGTGAATCCAGATCTTATCTTATCTTAACTGTCTCCACTCCCGAAACACCCCATAACTCCATGCCTCGGAAGGCTGTTTTTCTCACTTGATGACCCTGACTCTATAGTTGATACTTGGTTTCGAACCTTCTCTTCACCATCAGTGGGAATAAGCAGGTGCAATCTCAGTGAGTCTTATACCTACCAAGGACTCTGTGCTGTCCTTGCCCTGCAGTTATTTGGGGAAGGGATGACACAGAAAGAAGTAGCTGTCCCATCTCATCCTCTGCCTTCATGTGAAAGGCATGCTCAGCTTTTGGCGAGCTGTGTTCCCTGGTAGGCAGTTCCATATTCATAAGTAGAGATTCAGGAAGAGCTTCAAGTTCAGTGAACAACACATAGGTCCCATTCAATAACCATTATTGATTTGAATGTTTTTGTAGATTTTATTTAATTTGGTAATTGATTGAACAGTTTTGTCAGCGTTATAAATGACTGTGTTTATAGATACTTAAATCCCTTGGTGTGAAAACAAGTTTTTAAAAAGAGGTATCTTCTAGTCCCATATGCATGTCAATCCAAAGTCTACAGTTCTTTCTCCCAGTCACAAAGGCAGAGCAGTACAAACGGCCCTCCCCACCTCCATACACAGGCCTTTCTCTTTCAAGACTGCGTGTGGTGTTCATTTTAAACTGATTTCATGTAAGAGTGGGTGGCAGTGGAGAGATTGGCCCAGTACGTAATTTCTTAGAGAAGAAGAAAAATTAGAGAAAGCATTACACATTTATGTGGCAAAAGGTCATAAAATAACAGAGGCTCAACCAGCCAAGCCTAACACAAAATAAATCAGGCTGTAAGTATTAAGAAATTTAAAAAAACTTAACCCTGTAGGGTGGATATTGTTTTGCTATTGTAAACAATAACTGCTGTGTTTTTAGTATCTACTGTGTCAGGCAAATACATATTTTTCTTTTTTAAAAAACTTATTTTATTGAAGTACAGTTAATTTACAATGTGTTAATTTCTGCTGTACAGCAAAGTGATTCAGTTATACATCTATATACATTCTTTTTCATATTTTTCATTATGGTTTATCACACGATATTGAATATAGTTTCCTGTGTCACACAATAGGACCTTGTTATCCAGATCCCACTTTTTTTTTTTTGCGGTACGCGGGCCTCTCGCTGCTGTGGCCTCTCCCGTTGCGGAGCACAGGCTCCGGACGCACAGGCTCAGCGGCCATGGCTCATGGGCCCAGCTGCTCCACGGCATGTGGGATCTTCCTGGACCGGGGCACGAACCCGTGTCCCCTGCATCGGCAGGCGGACTCTCAACCACTGCGCCACCAGGGAAGCCCAGATCCCACTTTTTAGGTTAAAAAATCCCAGGGAATTTCAGAGAATAAAATAACATATTTTAATTTCCCCCAGAATTAGCAGATGTTATGCCTTTTGCAGTATTTAACTGTGATATTTTCTATATATGAAGAAGGAGGTTGTAGAATATTACAGAATATTTTTCCCCTCACTCTATCATATTATCTTTTCTTCTTCCTCAAAGGCATGAAATACATATTTTTCTGAAGTATAGATATTATCTCATTTTATGGAGGAAGAAATTGAAGTTCTGAGAACTCTGTTATTTGTTGCTGAGACTAACACAGTGTTTAAGTGGTGTTCTTGGTGGCTAAATTGTATCTCTGCATTAATCTGTTGAAATATTTGGCAAAAGCTTTTGTGTTAATTGATTTTCTTGTTTACTAGGATATTAAGCAAGTCAGATGGCAGATGCTTCATATCAGTATTTGTTGAAAAACTGTTTTAAAATATATTCACGCTCTAGTTAAGTTACGGGAAAAAGCAGTAAGTTAATCTCTTAATAAGTAATTGTGCATTGCTTCAGATACTATTTCTTTCATAAATGGAGCCCTAGACTTATTGCTGGAGACCTAAGTTCACTCTGCCATAAGCTTTTGGTATGGTTTCAAACAAATTTCTTAAATTATCTGGTTGTCAAACATATTAAAAAAGAAATGTGGCCCAGTTTAGGAAGCTCCTGTGAGCCTGAGGCTCTCTTATCTAACCCAGAGGCACCAGTGCAAGAATGTAGAACAGGAAGGGACTTCGTCCCAGCAAGCTTCCTACTCCAGGAAGCCTCTTTTGATCTCTGCATGCAACTCTCTAACCCCACCCAGAGACACTGGGTCAGCTAGAGGGCACAGGGAGGGGAAGCTACCATATCCTGCCCCTACAAGAGATACCTGGTGGTCTGACCTTAAGAAATCACTTCCACTCCCTCAGGTAGCAGAAGCAGGGGCCCCAGCAACTCTAGATAAACCATGCTGGCAAAAAATAATACCAGAAAGACTCTGAATGTAAAACTGCTACTGGAACCACAGCTCACAAAAGTAGGTCAAGAATTGCATGCTAAACCCAAACAGGGTAACTGCTTGCTAAAATAAAAGATTTATATAGGTCTCAGAGTCTCCTAACATAATAGAATGTCCAGGATATAATAAAAAATCACTTTTGTCATACCAAGAAAGAAAATCACAGCTTGAATGAGAATAAAACAGTTGACTGACCACTCTTGAGATAATTCATGTGTTAGAATTGTTTGGCATGGATTTTGGAGCAGTCATTATAAAAATGCTTCACTAATCAATTACAGATTCTCCTGAAACAAAAGAAAATAGAAAATAGCAGCAGTGAAAAAGAAGTTATGAAAAAAGGACAGAATGAAATTAGAGATCAGAAAGATACAGCAGCAGAAATAAAAGTCATGATGGATGGGCTTAATCTTGTTAAGTGGAGATGACAGGAGAGAATCAGTATACCTGGAGGTAGAACAATAGAATTTACACACACCCCCACCCCCAAACAGGGAAAATGAAAAGAGCCTCAGGCACCTGTTGGACAATAACAAAAGATAGAATATTTGTTACCGTCAGAGTCCCAAAAGAAAGAAAAGTAAGGCTGATGGAGTATTGGAAGGAATAATTGCTGAAAATTTCCAAGATTTGTGAAAGACAAACCTTCAGGTCCGGGACTTCCCTGGTAGCGCAGTGATTAAGAATCTGCCTGCCAATGCAAGGGACACGGGTTCGATTCCTGGTCAGGGAAGATCCCATGTGCTGCGGAGCAACTAAGCTCATGTGCCACAACTACTGAGCCTGTGCTCTAGAGCCCGCGAGCCACCACTACTGAAGCCCGTGCACCTAGAGCCTGTGCTCCACAGCAAGAGAAGCCACTGCAATGAGTAGCCTGCGCACCGAAACGAAGAGTAGCCCCTGCTCGACACAACTAGAGAAAGCCCGTATGCAGCAATGAAGACCCAATGCAGCCAAAAAAAAAAAAAAAAAAAAAACCAAAAAACCCTTGAGATCCAAGAAGCTAAGCTAACCTCAAACAGGATGAACTCAAAGAAATCCATGATTAAACAAATTGTAATTAAATTACTGAAAACTAAAGACAAAGAAAAAAGTTAAAAACAGCTAAAGAGCAACAACACATTACCTACTAGGGAACACCAATTTGAATGACATTATATTTCTCATCTGAAACTACAAAAGACCAGAAGGAAGTAGCAAAATATTTCTCAAGTTCTTAAAGAAAAGAACTGTCAACTGAATACTTGGTAAAAGTATTTTTCAGGAATGGTGGGGAAATAAAAACATTCTCAGATCATGGAAATATAGAAGAACCTTCCATTAGCATACCTACTATTAAAGACTGGCTAAGTGAAGTTCTTCAAACAGAAGGGAAGTGATATAAGAAATATTGGCGCATCAGGAAGGGAAAAGGAACAATGGAAAGAGCAGAAATTTGGGCTTTTCTTTCTCCAGGAGATTTCTAAATCTTATTTGATGATTGAACCAAAAATTATAAGTGGTAAAATGTTGATTTTTATAAGTCACATATGAACATTATAACATCCAGAACAGCTATTACAAAACCTAAGCAAAAAGATATATTCAAAACCACTATAAATAAATCAAGATGGAATCCTAAAACTTGATCAAGTAACTCTCAGGTAGGCAAGAGAAGCAGAGGAATGAGAAACAGAGGAAATATATAGAAAACAGATAGTAAAATGGTAGACTTAACTGCTCACATATGAATTACCTTAACTGTAAATAGTTAAAATATACAAATCAAAAAAGAAATTGGCAGAGTTGATTTAAAAAACATGACCTACCGAGTATCTGCTGCTTACAAGAAACTTCAAATTCAACAACATAGGTAGAGGGAAGTAACAGGATGGAAAAAGATATACATGAAAACATTACTTTTTTTAGGGAATGGCTATATTAATATCTGATAATATAAACTTCAGAACAAAGAAAATTACTACAAAAAAAGGAGCATTACATAATGATAATAGGGATCATTCCACCAGGAAGACATAATGATCCGAAATATGTATGCACCAAATAACAAAGCCTCAAATTAAATGAAGTAAAAAGTGAGAACGTTGAAGGGAGAAATAGAAAAACCACAATTATTTTATTATCCTTGCTCAGCATTGATAGAATTACTAGACAAAAAATCAGACTGTAGAAGATCTGACCAACACAGTCAACCAATAGGATCTAATTGGTGTTCATAAAACATTGTACCCAACAACAGGATACACATTAAACATTCACCAATATAGATCATATCCTGGGCCATAAAACAAACCTCAACAAATTTAAAAGAATTGAAACCATCAAAGTGTTTTCTGTGACTACAGTGGTATCCCACTAGAAACAAATAACAACACTGAGAAAGTCTCTAAATATTTGGTAATTAAACAGTACATGTTAAAATAATCCATGGGTTGTAAAAGAAGTTTCAAAGAAAAAAAATATAACCGAATGAAAACAAAGCCATAAAATACCAAAATATTTGGGTGCAGCTAAAGAAGTGTTGAGAGAAATTTATAGCATTAAATATCTACATTAGAAACGAGCAAGGATCTAAAATCAATAATGTAAGTTCCTACCTCAAGAAACTAGAAAAAAG